ACTGAATTTTCACGTTTAGTTTTCAACGTTACACCTTTCCGTAACGATTTTCTTCTTCTTTCTCGCTGAAAAATACGTATCGACACGATTCCTCGCCATTGTACGATCTAAAAATATTACAAAACGACCTTCGAGGTTTTACCGAGTATCGTTCGTATTGTCGAACAAATCGTGGAGCGAAATTTTCTAAGGTGCCGGAGATTGGTCCGCCGGCAAACTTTGAAACGTGGAGAAATTTTTCCTATAAATGAAAAAAGCTAACCCGCTCGATGACGGTTCGATGTGTCGGTTCGTCGACACGGCAACATTTTATTCCCGGCTCGTGTTTTTGCCTGTTACAAAGCGCCATAGAATTCTGCACGTGTAGACGCCTATCGTGAGAACATTAGAAGTATCAACAGGAGTTTATTAGTGTCTGCCAGTCGACTCTTCTCGAAATAGATACGGACCATTGGACTCTGTCGAGGACATAGTCATCGCGAAACTGTTACACACTCGGCCGACTGTTACGTTAACGTTCGTCATAAAGCGTCCCGACGCCTCGACCAAGTTATCATTGACTTGGTGACTTCCATTCTGTCTTGCTGATTTGGCAAGTGGACCATTTTGTCGCGAGTAACGTCGGGCTATTAGAACGAATTAGAACGAGCCGAAAATTCTTGGTTTAATAGCTGTGAAAAACGCTCAAGAATGATAGAAAAGAAATTTCTAAGGGAATCTGTTAATTATTTCTGCATTTATCAAAGTAGGGTAAAAGGACCAGTAGATGAACAGTTTAGCTGATTCTGAAGATTATATCAAGTTTTTTTTAGAAATATTTGTTTCATAAAAAAAACAAATCAGAGATTTGTACTCATAGCCTCTATTATCATTAGATGGATAATAAAGCTAATTTACATGTTTATTTATAAATTTCTAATATTATCAATACAATCGTACATTATATTCTTTACTTTTAACTTTTACAACTAGCACATGGTGGTAACATGGCATAGCAGTACAAAATATTAAGTTTATGAAACAATAAATAACTATCTTTTCTACAAAATGAAAAAAGTTGCATAGATTAAAAATCTAGTTTCTTTTCGAAATATCAATTAATCTTCGAGGTCCATTTACCGGCTTGCTTACTCTATGAAACTTACGAAAAGAGCGACTGCTTTCCAACGTGAATCGATCGTTTGTGTTTTATACAGTAGATGGATTATTAGTTGTTTTCTCAGAGGGAAGACGATACGGCCCGTTGAAAGAGCATCGTCTGACGTTCACCCTCCTTTTTCTCGTCAAGGACGTTGCGTTGAATGCTCCTCGGGTACATTCAACCCCCGTTGCTTGCGCATCCCTTCCCGTTTCTCAATCCTTGCCGTCTCCTTCCCCCGTTTTCCTTCTTCTTTTTCCTTTCTCCCGGTAGCCGTCTCGGCTCGTCCAATATTCCTCCCTCGCGTTTCTCGTAGTCGTCGTCGTTCCGCTGAAAGCTATGCACGAGGACCTAACGAGACCCGGACTACTCGACCGGGACAAAGCAAGTGTTCTCAACATCGGCCGACTAACGCCTGTTGGTCCTTTCAACCAGATTTTGCATTTTTATCAACAACGCCGTCCGAGTGAAACGTCTGTCAAGGATTATCTTGAATTAACTTAAGGGTGTTACAAGAACGGATTAAACGATGTTTTAAAACGAATGCGATTCTCGATAACTTTCCGCATTCGGGGTTGTAGAAAAAGAAATTTCTGGGTAACGAAAACTCAACAAATGCCTCCGTTAGATAGCTAGCGAAACAACTCGAGGAAAATAGGTCTCTGCGGACAATTATTATCGAGAGTCTACTTTATATTTTTTTTCATTTCTTAATTTAGGTACGTAATCTTGATAATAAACCAAATGCTAAATGACACGTAACACCAGTCATCAAGGTGTGAAGATGATCAACCTTGCAAAGCGTGTATTTAGAAAGGCGTATGTAGCTTGGGGCAGTTGTTTCAGTGTCATTTTAATTAACACCATTTCTTCATATGTCCCTTCCATCCTTCCCTTCAGCCTTTCCATCGACCTGGAACTTAAAGCAAACAGAACCTAATGAAGTCAGAACAAAGCAAAAAGTGTCCTTGTCATTCCCAGACTACGCTTACTTCGTTGACGATAATTAAAGTCATCGTTAAGGGAACATGTCGCTTTTACAATGTTTAGTATGAATTATTAATTTAACTTCCTTCGAACAGTGTAACATCATTCCTGATTCTTTCACCGTTTTCCACGTACTCTCATTGATTCAATTCCATGGACCATCGACATCCATCTGGCGACCATTAACTGGTTCGACAGAAAATGAACAGGTCGTATCTCGATTGATGGAAGTGGAAAACGCTGTTTCCTATAATACTGTTTATCAATCGGAGAGAATTACGTGTCGATGAATTTTCTTTACGATACCACGCGAAGAATAGCGATTCTGTAATTTCCGAATCTCATCAACCAGAGAATATATATTAATCATAGAGTCTCGCTAATCAAAGCGCGTTAACAAAAGTACCGGTGGTTAAAGTCTTTTCAGACGAATCCCCTTGGAATGTTAAGGATTAATAGCTCGGGACGGGTGGAGATCGCGCGAAAAACCGAGCCAGATGACACGAAAAAGGAACAATGTAGCTCGCGATGCCCGTTTCGCCGGTGTTTCTTCCTCGCATGCTCGCGTTTCATTCGTACCTGACGAGCCAGCTGTGCGTGACCCGTCTGCGTGCGTAACACCACCGGGATAAAGAGAAAGAGAGACAGAGAGAGCGGAGAAAGGAGAAACAGAGAAAGAAAGTAGCCGGTGGATCGATAGGATAGCTTTGCGGTGACGTTGCTGAAGAAACCACACGTATTGCAGATATTGGCTGCTATCTAGACAACGAGGAACACCGTCTGAGGGAACGAGCATCCCCTCGTTCATAATCATTTTCTGTCAGAAGCTTATCATCTTTTATCTGATCGATGATCCTAGTATTAGTAATTCTAAGGAGATAAGGATAGGACGTATCAAAATGAAACACATATTGTCAAATTGATGCTAATATTAAGACGTTTAACACTAAACGTACCGAGATTTAATATATACCTATTTGTACCGTGGTAAATGACGCTAAGTTACACGTGTTTATCGGATTTAACAAATAAAAATATAAATAAATGATGTAAAATTAATTGTACATATTTAATAGAAAATTCATTAAGTCAAATGTGAAAAAGCGATAACATTTTATGCGAATTTTCTAATGAAAAGTTTACAACCGGTCAGTTGACCGGTCCATGGTACGTTAAGTGTTAATTAGATTTTGAAATTTTAATTAAAATTTCCGTATTTGAACACGTTGATTACCAAGAGGATAAATGGGTGTATCTTCAGCTTCAACTCTAAGTCTATCCTCTTATGGTTTCGCTTCTAAATTTCACCATAATTGTTGCGGCTTTCCTAACCCTTTGGATAGGGTGTACCCAAGCCTCGAACAGATTTTATCACAGGCGCATTCGAAGAGGTCCGATGAAAGCTGTGTGTCGTAGTTAATCGTGTTCTCGTGGTTACGGGCTTCCGTGACCTTGACGCTGGCCACAAACGTGGAGAACAAGCTTTTCGAAGCGATCGACCGCGCGATATTCGTTCTCGTGACCGAAACGTGCGACTAATTCGGTTCTCCGTTTCATTTCTTTCGAAGGAACCATCGTATCGTAACGTGGATAGGAAACTGTAACTAGCTTTTGACCTCGCTATTTAACCCTTTCACTGCTAAATACATTTTCACCTGTACATAGGATCGAAAGGGTTAATCGGCTTCCTTTTTAGAGGGGTGGTTTTTAAAAGGATATTTCTTAGGATCTTTCGCGTAATTTGTTATGCAGCGAGGATAGTGCTTAATGTTTGTTAAAAATAATTCGTAAGGTTGGTAGGTAAACCGAGACCCTGAAGAATCTGCTCGGTATCTGCACACGGAGCGGTCACGATCACGGTCGTGTCTAGGTTCTAATGTTTTCGTTGGGCTTTGAATAGCCTCGATGCTCGGGAAAATCGGATACTTCCGTGATTTTACCGTGAGATTACAGAATCGTGTCGGTTGGGTTTAATCCTTGAACAGAGGAACTCAAATCGTGACCCAAATTTACGAAACCTATACAAGTAAAATTACATTGAAATTATGACTCTCTCCATGGTCCGCCGTCGGAGGGTTAAGTTCGATAGTGAAGTGCCTTTTGTAACGATTTCTAAATTGCTGTAAGTACTTATCAAGTATTGCGATAAAATTCAATGTTCTTCCTTATCCAGTGAATAAAACGATTATTTTGAATTTTTGGAGAAAATAAAATTCAATCTGTTCATTTATTTTCTATTTTATTAAATAATTTTCAACCTTCACACGTTATTAATCATTTTCTTACACGTCCTTGATCTTCAAAGAACCAATAACGTTTCAAGACTTTCTCGAGCTAGTCGGATTATTAGATTCGTTAGATCTATCGAGTTGCGGAAAGTTTTCAAGAGTTTCAAGAATCTCAGACTCCGAACAAGTATCGAAGTGATTCGAAACTCTTCGATGATTGGAATCGATTGAAAATTTGCAAGGTATGCCCTTTCGGTAACCGTGTCGCTAGTTCTATAGAGAAACGCTGGTTTTCGAGTGCGTTCGAGTGCATTTTCACGGTATCGTTTACCAGAGAACACCGAGTCTGTACCGTTGCCACGTGTCGCGATAAGACCAATTCTTCGAGTCGTCACGGATCCGTAATGGAAGATTAACAAAGTGGCGCAATCGCGTTACCCCATTTAGCAATGTTACCCGGCTTCTGCAACAATCTTCACTTTACGGCTGCATTAACCAGAGTACACGATGATGGTGAAGAGAAATATTTGAATCGAATCCAATTTGATCGCCGATCGCGAATCACCATTCTATTTATTCACACAGAAATATCCGACCGTATCGCGATGAACGAGCTGTCGTCTAATCGGATTAATTTTCTGTCGCAGGCACCAAATTTCTGTGCAGCGAGGTGATAGCGTTAATAAGGAGCGAGGTGGACGACATCTGCTTGCAAATCATAAACTTCGAGGATCTGAGCTCCCAACCACCTCCACAGCCTGCAATTCCGCCCCCAAGCCAGACCAACAACAGGCTCGTCACACGCTGTAAGTTTCAATTTCTTTTTCTCCTTTTCCCTTCCCACCCCCCTACCGTTTCTCATTTGCCAGCCATGCTCGCTCATTTTCACGAAATCCATGTAAATTTCACGTTCAATTTACGTTCAGGCAGCTCGTTGTTGCGCGATACTTATTTTCTCGCGTGAAACAACCCCTTAACCCCGCCGTGATCTTCGATCCGACTATACGTTCAACGTTTCTGGGCCAAAAAATCAGCGAACGTGTACACTTATTCAACATAAATACAATTACGGAGAACGTCCGATTAAATAAACGACACCCAGTGCTCTCCAGGGATTTCTCAAGCCTCGAATAGTGGAGCGCGATTCAAATTCAAAAAATATATACAAGGATATTAACCTTAAATCAAACGTTAAATGTATAATTTTTAAATGAGAAACTTTCGTATATTGGAGGGATAATTTTGAAATTCAAATTGGGGCTCTCTCCATGGTCCGCCGTCCGAGGGTTAACGCGTTCACTGTCATCGGCGTGTTCTAAATAATTCTAATTATATCGTGGCGGTCAACGCGTCGCTTACAAAATATCAGATGCTTGTTAACGATAACAAAATGATGTAACTCTCTCCGGTGTTTGTGTGTGTGTTGCAATTTGTCGTACGGGCTAGTTACACGGGAACGAAAGCACTTTCGATCCCTCGTACGTTTCTGTTTGTCCTATTTAATAACACAGACGTTTGTTCTATTCTCTGTGTGTTATGCGTGTGTGGTTTTTTTTTTTTCTCTCGCTTTGCATTCGTTGTGCAACGCCGAGGACACTAGGTCACGTAGTTAAGTGTGAACGCGGGGTGTGTCTGTAGGAGCGTACTTGGAGCACGGCGTGACCTTCCTTACCGCAGACTGACGTTAGAAAGGTGCTTGTAAAAATTACCACCGAGCCTCTTTTTCCCTTTTCTCTTTTTTTTTTCATCTCTTCTTCATCCGGTAGAATGCAATACACATCAGTCGGATTCTTTTCACCGGGCCAGGCTAATGAAATTCCACCGGAAGCGAATCACTAAGCTTCCTTTTCCGTCGGTCCCCTGTCTGCTCGCGATTAAAAACCTAATTTCACACGAAACCGATTATCTCGGCCGATTAAACCGTCCAACAGATTGATCGGATGATGGGGCTCGGGCTAAGTAAATCGACGGAATTAATCTGGCAAGATTTCATTTTTCGTAACCGGATTTTTCATCGTTTTATCGAGTAACCAGAGAAGAACAATCGATTTCCATGTGTTTGCCTTTCGAAAGGATATATTATTCCGTATAGGGACCTGTGTTAATGGTGTTTATATTATCATGGTAAGCAGGGAAATATTTTTCTATTTCACACCTTACTTTATGTACCACGGGGGTCACCGATGCCCGCTGCCTTAAATGTAATACAATCGAATAATTAACACGTTGATTGCCACGTCATCCATATCTAGGTCACGCTTGAATTTCCATAAGAATCCATTATCCATATTATACGGAACTCTCTTACCTAATTAGAAGTACATCGATAGTAGCCACTTGAAACTATAGATAATAGTTCAGATAATGTCTGACTACACATGTCCATTCTCAACAGTGACAGTCACCGTCAACGTTATAGTACGTCATACCACTAGATATGCCCGTATCTACTGTGGCGGTCAACGCGTTAACTACCACGGTGTATTAAATGCTTTTGATTATAACCCTGTTCGCGGGACTATTTATCTAAAGATAATCGTGATCCATTAACGCCTCGTATCCGAAGGGATATCATAAATCACTTTTTAAGAGGGAAACACAAGCGCTCTAGTTTGCTGATTTTTACCGGGGAAAGTGTGCTTCGAGCGCAGTCTCGCGAGCACCCTTCGCATAATTAAATACGCTGGAATTAATTGAAATAATTATCTTCGTAATAGGAAAGTGCAACAATGGAATTTAACCTATCATGCTGATTAATATCCCTCGCGGATTCTCGTTTGAAAAAACTAGGGCACACAGATTTTCTTTTCTATTTTCTTGTCCGATACCCGCGTTCGTCAGTATCGTTGAAATTCCAGAAAAAAATGAAAAGAAACAAGAGTAAGCGTTAGTCCTTGACAGTTCGCAAACAACATCGTATTTGCGCGCAGTATAAATAGTGAGCCGTCGTGGAAGCACGTGTCGTCGAAGAATCAATTGATAGCGAACGCCTTTGCGTTTCCCATCGCACTAAATCTATCCGGCGAGGACAGCCGAGCGCGGAGAAGACGAAACGCACGGTTAACGCCGACATTCCGTCGTCAAGTTTCGTGTCCTGTATGCATATAGCTTCCCTGCGGACACGAAGCTCGCCGAGGATCATTATTTCCTACTGCGCCAATCGGTATAAGACAGCTTCGTGGACATTCAGGGCCAGTTTCTCGACAATCTTGCCATTTAACACACGGGTAGAAGCGGTTTCGCGGCGGCAGGGATGATTGCTGGAATCCGAGATCGAGGTCAGATTTGACCGCATAATGAGCTCTCGTTAAATATATTTCTCGTACTTTATATACATTATCGTGTCGTCGCGTTTCGTACCCAGAACTCGATGCATCCAATTTTCTTTTCAAATTTTCCATTTTTCCACCCGATTATCAGGGCGGATGAAAAATTATTTCTGCTCGATGGATATGGTTAACAATCGCACGGAGTTCATTGCTAATTACGTTAACGACGTTTTGCATTAACTTCGGAATCGCCGGGCGTGTTGAGGCAGTGCACACGCAAAGGAGGAAGAGACGCGTGGTCACGTTTTATATCTGGAGTGTTCGCGAAAGTATTTTTAGAATGACGCCGCAGAACAGTCGCTGGACGTGTGTGGCGCGCCTAACAGTTAACCCTGACCCGGTAATAAATGTTATACCCCCGTATAGGAAGCTATAGACACCCCTTTTCCCACCCGACGCTTGATAAATCCACCCTCAACCCTTGCGGACGAATCAACCGATGCTTACAGCGCTTGCTACGTAAGATCGTTTATTAAAATGGACACGAAGCTGTCGTTAAACGATCAAGTAACACCTTCTGTTTCCTTCTATTTTTTTTTTTTTTTTATTTTTCTTTATAGGATATCGCGATATTTCACCGAAGAAACCACGATCCGTCGCTCGTTGGCAAACAATTTTTAATTAAACTCGATCGTTTTCAATGGACAACCCTTCGAACTTTGATGGAAAACTTTGCTTCGATATTCGTTTCGATGATTACTCTATTCTCGTGTTTGTGCCTGTTGTTTCTTTTCCCACGAATTCAATTTCCGTTTGATGTACAATTTTCTTTGATCAACGATACGTTGGATCTTTTCAATTTTTTTCGTCTTCGATAAATTAGCAACACCCTTTCGCGTTTTGCTTCTAGAATCTCTAAAAGATATTGTATTTTTGTAAACGAGGTTCAACGACTCGAGTTTGGCTGAAAATCAAAGAACTTTACGCCGAATCGTTCTGGCGACGATTTAACCGTGTGTGTAACGATATATAGAGAATTTTCTGCCGTTTATTTGGATCGAATACTTTTAGTTTGATATTTGTCGTCAGTCGTCGCTTGACTAGCTATTTCTCGACAATTTCTCCCAGCGATATCGTCGCCCATTTCTAGACTACTGTGTTTGCCGCTTCATGATCCCATTTCCTTTTGCTTCGTTGAAAGTTTGTTTAATCCAACCGGTGGCTAACTTCGTAAACTCACTGGAGTCCTATACTGTTCGTTGAGAAAAATATATTGCGCAAAGTAACACGTGGAAAACTCTGCGATGGAATATTCTACCGTGAAAAATATCATCTCGAGAGTACTGTAACTACTAAATAACTAAACAGTAGCGTGTATAACTGAAAAAGCTTCGGTGTATTAACCTTAGAATGGCGAAGTTGCGGTGCTTTGATTATCAAATGTTTCCATATTTTAATCTTAATTTTGCAATCTTAGAGAAGAAAATGTTTACAATTACAATTCATGGACAACGAGTTTACAAGCTTTTTTCCTTCGTTTATATTTGAAATTTTGCTAGTAATGTAAGTGAACTCGTTTGAATTTGTAAAAATATAAAAGCAATTTGAACGATATAAAATTGAAAAATTATTGGATTTGAAGCTCGCCCGTGAAGGATACGTTTATTTTCGCAATATATATTTTCTCTGGTGCGTAGTTGGCAGTTTTTACTAACAATCACTAATAAGATTCAATGACGTTGACTCGAGCAGTCGACAGGGCAAGGGCGTCCTTTCGTGCCGGTCTATCCAGGACTGGTGTCGTTGGTCCGCCAAGGGTCAGGAATCGACCAAGAAACACGACCAACTTACCTCATCGACTTGCTGACGGGACCATCCTCGACGAGGACGCCTCTGAGAACTGGTGAGTCCTGGAATTTTCAATATTTCCTTCTTAAATCACTTACATCCATTCTGCAGTCGTAATTAGAACGAACGACGAAATCATCTGATATTTTTTTTTTCCTATTGTTAATTGCCAGTAGAAAATACTAAAAGAACCATGTAGTTGCTATGCTATACTGCACCATTATAGGCATGCTATAAATTTATATACAAAATCTGACTGGTGTAAATAGAATTATTGTAGAAATTATTCTGTCTCTGATAATCCATACCGATCAACCTGATGAGTTATAAATATAACGTTACATAAAAGGTACACCGTGTACCGTTAATAGATAGGACGAGAGCAGTTGCAACTGAATTTTAATGTAATTCGCGGTGCTTGCCGATTCAGAGGTGTTTTTTTTTTTTTTTTTTTTTTTCTAGTTTTCACCTCGTGAAAGGGGTTGCGCGATGATTTGTCGTACTGCGGTGTTGTACAGAAGCCAATTAAGAAACTGACGAAGCTGACCTAACTAAGTACACTCGGTTCGTTAATGATACACTGCATTGTTCTGCACGCGTATCTCTAGGACGATGCTGGCATTCTCGCGAACGTCAAATGCCCTTTTCGATACCCTTGTTAACCCCTGTCACGATTTTCTTCGTCTAATCGATCCCTGGATACCCTGTTCACCAATTGCCAATAGGAATCTCGAGTGGTTTAATCCGTTGCTACTCCGAATTGAATTTTTGGCAAACTAGGAAATGTTCAATTAGAGGATCATTTGGAGACTTCGATTTTTGAAATATGTTTTTTAGGTTCATCTATTTTTCGATTTTCATCTAAATGGCATTCGATTCAGAAAATATTTGCATGCACTCTGTTGGGAAGATCGGAAATATTATTTAAAAAAAATGCTTTCTCACGGTGCATACGACGCTTGCCAAAATACACACTTTTCGTCGCACGGCATTTTGTTTTCCCAACGTGGGAAAAACACAGCAATCCATTCTAAACGATCGAAACCAGACGCGAGATCAAATATTGGCAGTCGCCCGAGTAAACAGTAGCTCCATTTGCTACTATCGAATTGATTAAGGGGTTTCGTAAACAACCCTCGTACGTAACCCTCTCGTATGAATGGATCATGAGTCAAGGAACGTGTTTCCTTTCTCCTATTTTCGAATAAATGGATCCTCATATTTTTTCCGTCCGCGAAAGATTTATTTATTTGTTTAGCACGACGTCTCGATCTTATTGAAGATAACGTAAGAGATAATAAGTTATCGGGTTTGTATCTGAAAATCAACCGAGGGTTACATTTGCCGTGACAATAGCGGCTGAGATAGTCCGAAAATAATTCGAAGATGTTTCTCGACGCGCGACGTTCCGGACGAAAGCGAGTTTCGCACGCGAAAGGATCCCAACGACATAAACAAGCGGTCCCGGAACCGGGAAGCACGTGGAACGACAGAGAATAATGCGATCGAGACTACGACCTTGCGAGGATTTCCTCTCTTCAAGGTGAACGCTATCCGTTTGCTCTCGACACGCAACGATCAGCTATCAGAGGAGCGATGGTTCAAAGTTCGCTAAGAGCGGCGTAAAGTCGGCGGTAGCGTTCCAAACGCGAAGAAAGTTTAAGAAAATTTTCTAACGAAAGAGTTTTATAGAAGAAAAATTTTTGAAGAAACAGAGTTCAATTTAGAAAACGAAGATAATATAATTGTGGCTCTCTTCATGGTCCGCCGTCTTGGGGCTCGCTCCATGGTCCTCCATTTCTGTAATTTCTGAATCCCACATAAATTTTCTCATGCACCGCCAGTAAGGGGGCCCGCGATCTTGCCCCCAGGTTCGGCTTACCTATACTCATGAAATAACGAAAAAAACAAAAAAATTCTGTAATTTCTGAATCCTTGATTAAATGTACAATTTTTAAATGAAAGAGTTTTATAGATAGAACAATAATTTTTAAGGGAACAGTGTGCAATTTAGAAAAGGAAAGTAATATAATTGCGGCTCTCTCCATGGTCCGCCCTTTCTCTGATTTCTCAATCCTTGAACAATCCTTTCATATATTAGAAGATTAATTTTTGAGAGAACAGTATGCAATTTAGAAAAGGAAAATAATATAATCGCGGCACTCTCCATGGTTCGTCTCTAATTTCTCAATCCGATTATGCAATTTGCAGCTTCGTTCTACTAATGAATTATTAATAAATCAAATTTCCGGTGCCTTTATGATAAATGCGTCAATCGTTGGAGCCAACTGATGTTCAATCCCGTGACTCGATTAAAGCTGTAGCTTAACGATGACAAAGAGGAATGTCCCGGTTTTGCCATACGCTTCAAGGTGAACCATACTGAACACGCAACGTCGCGGTATCGAGATTGAAAAACGAGCAGGTGAACGCGACAAGGCTATTCGGAAGGAACAGAAACGCATTTCCCTCCTCTTACATCGGCTCGAGCTTTCGCTTAAACCACTTAAACGTCAGGATTTTAATGAGACCTAGATCATCCACGGTTCGCCCTTCGAGCACCTTTCGAAACTCCTTGAACGAATGCAAATAGCAATGGGTACGCATAAAACGGTGTATGGAACAACAACGAAAAAGTTCGGTTTGTCTTAAAGTACCATCGTCGATCACGCTTGGAAATAAGCTTACGCTTCTTGAATTCCGAATTCCGTCGATGATTCTCCGTTATATCGTTAATAACGAAAGAATTATTAGATCGTTAAGAATTGGTTATCGCGCAACATTCATCAATTAAATCCATCGTTATGGCTCTTAGATGACCGAACTCCGTCGAGTATTTCGCCGATGATACGGCCTATGAATTCTTTCAAGGTAATGTGTGTTTTCTTCCCTTCTCATAGGGGAAAGCTTAATTCTGTATTAAATAGATCGTTCACCCTTATTTCGTTAGAAAATAGAACGTCAGAAGGTCGGAGTTTCGTGTATAATCTCCGTAACCAAAAGTGTCACAAAGGAATTAAAAGCTCTTAAACAGGACGCCTTTGAAAACCGATTTAAAAGGGGTTCATGCAAGTCGTCTCTTTCAACGATCCGTGAAAAGACAGGGGCGTCGCGTGAATAAACGCGCCTGTGAATGAACCAGTTAAGCAAGTGCGAGAGAAGAAAAAGAGGAGAAAAAGAAAAGCCGCTGAAGAGGATATGAATGAAGGTGTTCAGGCTCAAAGATTTTATCTCGGTTTAAGGAGCGTGCGTGACCATGATACCATTCGAAAGCTGCATTAAGCTGCAAGTAAAGCGTTGTCACGCTTCCATCACGATCCCGGACGGGTCATTTTTCGACCAGAAATTGGACTGAATTTTTTTTCTACTTTCGTACACACGCGACATTTTCCGTGGAAAAATAAACTGAAACAAAAGAGAAACGAATTAATTAAATGAAAAATACGTTGCTCCAAATAAGACTAGGGTTGGTAATTCAAGGTGTACTTGTAGTTAGCTTTCGAGAATCGAAGTTGGGAATAGTTTCTACTTTCCAGATTAGAAACATCCTTCCAAGTTGATTTTCCTAGGATTTTGCTGATTTCCTTAAGGGAGATTGAAGAAATCCGAGTTTCCTCTTTCGTTTCAACAAGTTTTCCCCTGACTATATATATTTCGATTCTTCTGAATAACAAGTACTTAAGCGTAGCGGGTACATTTCAATGACAAATTATTCCGAAATTGTAGAATAAGAACGATAATAATTTACTGGTAAACGAAATGTTCCACTTTTCTATCGAGCCACATTACAGTCCTGTTTTCAGAGTCCTTCGCGTGTGAACACGCACTCACCAATTCTAAGGAGCAAAGTGTTTCGTTCGGTATGCGATTAAGAAGAAATGGCAAAACGAAATCTTTTCCCAGGTCAAAGCAATTTTATCGATATATACCTAATAGAAATAGGCTTGGTTCTCGGTTCCACCTTCGTTTCTTCGTTTAACCCTCGAAAAGCGCAGTCTGGGTCAATCGAGACTCGAACTTACAGTTAAATGTGTGATATTAATACGAAGCAGTTTCATATATTAGGAGAATAACTAAAGAAACAGCGAAAAATTTAGAAAATGAAAAGGATATTAAATTAAAATTCGGGCTCTCTCCATGGTCCGTCGTCCGAAGGTTGAAATTGATAATTTTGATAACAATTACATATGTGTTCATCGGCAAAATAAATTGGAAGTTATACTATCTTAGAAAATGGAACTAACATGAAATATAAAATTGAATTAAAATTGGAGCACTCTCCATGGTCCGCCATTCGGTGGTTAAAACAGTGTTTTCTGTACGTAGCAATAAATACTGTTTAGAATGGTGCAGAAATAAAATGAATTAGCGGGTATTAAACTTAAGGACGTTTAAACGTAAAATTGTTAATTAAGAGGTCGTAAAGGAACGGTTGCTTCTATAGAAAAACGGCCAGGATGAAGCGCGTGCAAATGGGATTTTGTTTTAAAGCCATGGAAATTCATTAAACGCACTAGCGTGCGAAAGTAGGGTGGACAGGGTGGATCATGAAAAGGCGGTAAAAAAAATTGTAATTCATTAGCTATTCTTCTAATATACCTACACTGGCTGATTAAAACCATGAATATTTAACACTGACTGAAGTGTTCCGCAAAACGTGAATCAGCGAGCAATGTCTAACCTTCCCTGTAGGTGTTTTCTAACCCTTTACCTGGAAGACTTATACAAAATTCTTGGCCAAGAAACAGCACGAACGAGTAAATAAAGATTACAATGTTAAAGAAGAAGAAAAAAAAAAAATGAATTTCGGAATCACTGGAACGGAATAATGACGTTAAAGCTAAACATTTGATGCATATACGTATCTGACGTGAAAAAGAGATCAGGCGAGGTGCGAATACTTTTCCAATTAAAACTTCACGCCAATTAGTCGGCTGCTCGTCGCCAGGTCGAAAATTTCAATCGTTCCCATTTTTCGCTGCATCGATCAACGTTGACGATTAACGAAATTCCACGGAATGTAAACTTGGGGCCGACACGGCAGCTGCCAAAAAAGATGCACGCTCGGGACTCGCGGCGATGAATCATACCGGGTTTATCATGCAAATGCGCGACAGCAATTTACCACTTTTTAGACACGTAAATTCCTTGAACCCACCCAACAATAGCGTGCAATAACGCCGCAAGGTGAAGTTGCACCCGGCTGAAAAAAAAAAAAAAAGAAAAAAGAAAAAGAGAGCGGCCGGAACTGTGACGCCGGTGGTTGGTCGGTAAGAGTCGAAGGAAAGAGAGGAAAAAAAAGAAAGTATACACCGCGGTAGTCCATTATGTGGATCTATTTGTATTACGAAATCACTCTGTCAACACGCTGGCCGACGAGGAATCGATGTCAGGGTTGCCTAGTCGCCGTAAAACGTCGATAAATCTAGCGAGTTTTTAACGCGGTTTCGATCCTACCCGGCAAGTTCAACCCCTTGCACCACTTGGTGTATCAAAGGACGCAATAATTAGCGGAGGATGTATTTTAATTTCCTAAGGGGAGAAAGATTTCCTGGCGATATTTTTCTTTCTCCTTCGCGTCTCGGATAAATCGTTTAGCGACTTCGGTCTGAATCACTCGCAGCACCGATTCGACCCCCTCGATGCATACAAACGTTTGTTCGTAGACGAACCGGCGCTACCGAGATAGTAGGAACGAGAAGAGGGTTGATTTGTTTTTCCCTTGATAAATGTACGTCGACGGTCGTGCCGTTACGAGAGAGTCCCGAGCGGCGCGAGGAAAATTCTCATTACGCGTTCGAAATGTTTGGAAATGTTCCAAACGAAACTACCCTGAACTTGCCCATCCCTCTTCCCACCCTAACAACGCTGATGCAAGCTCTCCTATGTCCTCTCGAACAGGGCTCGCAATCGCGCCCCCGAAGGTCCTCGAATCGATTAATCTAATCTTCTAACGATTTTCAAAATTCATCGTCTTCCAAAGATGAAATTTCAATCGAAGAACTTGGAATAGTTAACGGCGAAATAAAAATTTTAAGAAGAACCTTCTGAAGGCTCACACGAGCCATTGAAATCTCCGCGGACAAGACGCCAGAGACATCGGATGCTTTTTCCAGAACAAGAACAGAATATCAAACAAGAGCTCTCAGGAACCTGCGACACCTTCAACTTCCTAAACTGTCCGCAGATGCTTGCTCGCGACAGCCCCGAGCTAATTGAATAGCAAACAAGTGTTACCAGTCGCAGTTCCGCTAAATAAAGTCCGGTTCGTTTACATTCTAGTTGCGGCGGCACGTCGGTCACGTCTTTCTGCATCGCGTTGCGGCTCGTCAGCTTCTGTATCGATTGCCAAGTCTGACCTAACACTGACATACTTCACTCGCCGTGTCTGACCTCTGTTCCGTATCGACCATTTGCCATAATCTTAAGATTTCCACGATGAAATCGTGGGACACTTTTGCCCCGGTCAATCCGAACGCGACCAAGCTCGACGCCCCGACGCCTCGACGCCGTCCGTTTTAATTATCAACCACGGTGGCTCCTCGACGACGACGACCGATGACTTTAAATAAAACAGAGAATAATATTCGCCTCGTATTTGTGTAACACCCGAATTTCATTTTCTTTCGATGGAATTTTGCAGAAGCGAGCAAACAATACACACGACGGCACGTTAAAGTTTATGATTACAGATTTGTAAGTTCTTATGGAATGGTTTTTCTTCATATTTTTTTGCCCCGAGATTCCGTGGTCGAGCGACATTGGAATCGCTCCACGCTTTCCCCTTTCTGATGAAAATTCTTTTAGAAGATGTGCGTGCTGAGAATACCCAATCCAACCGTCGTAAATATAGCTTCGAAAAGAACTTGAATTACGTTTCTTCTCGCCCTCGTTTTCGTCGATCTTTCAAAACTTTCACATACTTCACTTAATGCGTTTGTTATTTGCACTTAGATATAAGGCTTAAACTTTTTTTATTCCGTACGATTTTTGTTTGGAAATTCGAATGCCTCGTTTTGTTAGATGTCTGGGTCACGGGTGACCTCGCCAGCACCGTTTGCGAGTTGGTCAGGAACGTTCTCTTTCGACTAATGGAACCGATATTTCTCTATTTTTCAGCCCACTAACATGTGGTTCACCTACAATGATGGAATCTTGGGGTCCTGCAAGGACTGGCACACCCCCGCCCGCTCTTCCAGCCCCGCCAGCTGGGGGCAACAATGGTGGTGCAACCGCAAACGTTGCACAGCACGGCACCACTGCGCCGATTGCCAGTCCCGAAGGGGTGAGCGACGTAAGTAAAAAAAAAATAAATAAATAAATAAAATACTTAAGAGAATGAAACCCAGGACACTTGACGCGAAAAGAGTTTTAAACTTTTTCCATTATTTCCTCTTCGTGGCACAATGATTCCCCGTTATTTTTCTATTTTTGGAAGCAAAGGGGTTGAAAAGCGTAAGCTTAACAATCTTGAAGCACGTGCAACACGAAGCGCAGGGTTAGAGTACCATGCAAAGGTCACCCTAATGGCACGTATCTAAATACAATTGCAACCCGTGTACAGTTATTCCGTCGGAGGGATGAAGCAACCCTTAACGCCTACTCCTTCCACCAGTTTCGATTTCACCAGCAAATGACGGTTCAATATAATGAACGTTGGCCGAAACTAATAGAATCACCGAAACATACGGAATATTATTCATTCTCATGAGAGTTGTCCAATCTAGAAGATCGTTAGGTGTCTTTCCGATCATCGTCGACCCTATTTTTAGAATTTTATTACACCATTCTCCTAATCTTATTTAACCCTCTTGTCCCGTACACCTGCGTGTAGTATATGGGTTGAAACGTCGATTTTTCCATACGTTCGAAAACGAAAAAGAAAATCCAATGTTTCTCCTATTTATCGGATGATTTAATACATTGTACCATTATTATCTTCTGCCATCGCGAACGAGCCTTAGCCTTAAACCGTGCCCTCAACCCCGAAAGCAATTGCCCCTTCCACTGGTCGCGGAGGGTAAATTCAAGTTGGATCGCGTGCAACCGCTTGAAAACACGTCCGGTATCGATCGTGTGTCGCAGGAGTGTACGCGATGCAAACGATATTCCAGCAGTGGCTGTGTCACGTGAAACGGAAGTCCGAGTCAAGGGTAGCTCGGAGCTAGTGGTGCGATGGTCGGTTAAACGGGATGCGATCGCGGTTCGTTGCAGGTCTCGCAGAAGTCTGGCATCTGGGATGGCTCGAACTTTCCGTCGACCGGAGGAGCGGAAGGACCGTCCCGAAGCGTTTCCCACGCCGCCAGTTTGGACGCGATCTCGAGGAGGGCGGTGAAACCGGAAACGTCGAGGGCGCCCTGTCGCAGCCTCACCTGCAGCGTTTGTAAGTAGACTTCGTCTCACGACCGACCCGATTGCTCGTTTCTTCTTAATTTTCTTTTACTTTTTTTTCTTCTGTTCTCCCCAACCCTTTCTTTCTGTCGACGTTTCCTCGGTATTTCGTGGGTTGCCAATTTGACGTATTAGTTCGTATTTTAACTTTTTCTTTTTAATGCCCGATGAGACGTTTAGGTGTTCGCATCCGCAATCCTTTCGCTCTGTGATTACCATTTGTTTTTCTTTCTGTCTCTTTTTTTTCATAATTCTATAGAATAGGGTAGAAGATCGATGTCTTAAGTTAATTTTGCCTTTAGCTCAACTTCGCTTTCAAAACAAGAATAAAAAAAGCTCATCGAATCGAGTAACCTCCTCCTTTTTCGAAGCCAGTTTAAAAATACCTCGAAATTTTGATTTTGAAAATTAAAACCGAGCTACGGTTGTATCTAGACAAAATCACTTAGGAAATTGGTCTTCAAGGTTGGCGAAGTTGGCGAAGCTCACCCTGTTCTATATAATTAACTTTTCGTTTTGAACGTTCCTGGAACGTTCGATAGATCGATCGAATTCGATCGGTATCCAGGTTCGAACGACGCGTCGAGTGCGGATGTATGCGCGTTGCGGCGAAATCGCAATGAGACAACGTTGAAGATAATGCCGCCGCATGCGATGTTTCGTGTCGCGAATGTTGACAGATAGTGAACGCGCGTGTCTGTCTGTCCGTTTGCGAGCAGAAGCTATCATATGGTTGGTTAATCGTCGATGTTCGTGACGAAGGATTCGTTCGAAAGATCCGCAATTTTTTATTTTCATCGCTTTCGGGTGAAAATTGATTTCTTTCACCCTTCACAACAATTTTTCTCCTTTTAAATACATAAACTCTTCGGTCATTCGAAATTCAACAATTTCAAACGACGAAATTGCACTCGTCATTAGGAAGAATCGTTGCAATTTGACGAAGATTATAAACGATTTTTATTTCATCAATCAATGGCAGAATATTGAACTGTTCAGTAGACTCCTGATAAAATGTGGAAAATTGTTTTTTCGTCAGATTTTCTATGCAAATTGCATCGCGCATCGCTTCGCTATCTGTCAGCCGTCGAGAAAAGCTCGAAGATCCTAAAGAACCGTGCCTCGTGTACGATATCTCGCGAAAACGACGCGAGTTGGCGCTTGTTCGCTCTGAGCAACCCCTATTCGCTACCCCCGGAGTCTCGATAAACGTTTCAGGAAAAGTCGCGTTTCCGTTCCGTCGATCATTTTCTTTCAACCCTGTATCCAGACGATCTCGTAATCTCGCGTCGGATATGTATCCTCTAAGGCGACCCTTGCGTTAAATCAGGCCCGACCGTGATCCCCTTGGGTACGAAGTGTAAGTGCAAAAGTCAAACCATAGAAACGTATTTTAGTAGCGGGCCGAGGGAGCGAACATGTCACCCTCGAGCGACGACCAGCGACAGTCGATAATCTCACGGAAGGTAAAACAGGACGGAGCAGCTTAAGTCTGCTTCATCCCCTACTTTGGTTTTTCTTTTAACCGACCGAGCGCCGCCGAGTTTGCACCCCTTTTATACAACTTACCAAGCGCTTGCGGCTTACTGTTTTCTTTTTCTCTTTCTTTTCTTTATATATCATCTGCTTTTCTCTTCAAGAGATAACGTACCATTGTCGGATTCAGCTTTCATAGGCCTGTTTTCTTATACTGCCACCACCACCACCACTACCACGATTTATACAGGGTGTCCCAGCGATCGTGAACCGAACAAGAACGGGTAGATTATTCTCTAGAGGATCGAATTGATTTGAAAAAAAAAACTTATCCCGTGTTATAGATTTATTTTCTCAAGAAAAATCAACCCTTTCTAAATTTCACCACGATCAACGGTACACCCGGTATACAATTTTACTCGTTCACTCCACCCTATCGCATTCGCGAGACTTCGAACGCGTCACTTTATACTCTAACAACCACTTTCCTCTTTCTACTCTTTTTTTTTTTATCTCTTCTATCTCTGGTACCTTCCTGCCGTGCCATTTACAAAACGAGCACCGTAGCATCGCTCGGTCAGCCATTTTTTTACTCGACAATCCTGGAACTCGCTTCACCCTCTTATCTTCGGGGTTGAAAGAAGATTCTTCCTAGGGTTGGATCACTCGTTTCCGCGTGATAACACGATTATCCGTTCACGCGTAATTCTGTTCGCTTCTAAACGATCTAGAGACTCGTAGATCTACGGGGGGTTCGAGGGTGAAGAACCTTGAGTAAGGCTGATCGAAGCATGAGAGATCAATTTGTTAGTTACGCTTCTGTTTCTTCATGATCAGACTAAATTGGCTGATACACACGGCTTCCTCTTTATCTTCGACTCACGAAACCCGCTATTTCCGGTGGAATTCGATCCGAAATCCCCGGAAACGATCTGAGAAGACAGAACGGAGCAGCAGTCATCACGATATCATTGTACAAATGTCATTATTGAAAACGATATATCCCCTATGTTTTATCCTTCCTTTCTTTTATATATTATATACTATATATATATATATATATATATATATATATATACATACGAATATAAACATTATAAATAAATATATATATACATACTACTACTCGAGCGTAGCAAATACCGCATTATCATCTCTATGAATAATTTACACGGTCTTTTACGAACATTTAAACAATCTTTCTTTCACAGGTATGCAGCTTCTAGTGCGAATTGACTAACCCGTTAACGACACACTGTTTTCTAACGCTTTTAGTTCGGAGATATAGGCTCGGTTGTTTCGTTGGTTGATTTTTCTCTAATACCACACGTTCGTAGACTTTACATCGGCCGCCATTTTTTTTTTATTACTTTTTTTTTTCTTTAGATCACAGGTTGTCAGTAATGTTAAACCATTCTTCTTTGGGATCGTTATTTCATGTACAAATATATATTATACTTATCTGCGTGCTTCCTAATTGCACCGTATTTTATATTTAGAATTAGTGCGAGATTGTTGATTGAAACAGATTGTAAATCGGTATCTTACGAGTTCCATTTAACAGGATGATAATACGATAGAATTTGTTAATTTTTCGCCTTCTCGTTGCGCCTCGATAAAAGCTTAGACAGAACAGCACCGATTTGTTGGATAGTTGAATTATTTGATTGAATCGAGCCTGTATTTCACACATATAGTTTCGTATATGACAATAGGATAATTATGATGCGAGAAACGAAGGGGTGATGTAATGTATTTAAGAGATTTCACACGGACCTTTATGTTTCTAGCTACTAAACATTCGAAAATCTTTCCTGGCGTTGCGTCCGAAAGTGACTTGCAAAAATGGCGGACGTCCAAAGACCGGAAGTCGCCATCCCTCAGCCAGATGGGGCCCGACTCCATCAGACACAAAGTAAGTCGATAGCTTGAATAGGGTGAAGTGTACAGTTATTGGAAAGTAAGAAATACAATATAATGCGTTTCTCAACCCGCGGACGGCGGACCATGGAGAGAGCCACAGTTTTAACGGGTTAGGCCGCTCTAGAGCAAGAAAAAATAGGCATATTTTGGGAATTTTTTTTTTTAAATGATGGAATAAATTCAAATACCGTAAGCATGCCTTTATTTTACAACTAATAAAATTTAAAAATTAATTTTTGTATAGTGATTCAAGTGAAAATATGAGCTCTGCAGCAATTCTTCTTTTTGTAGGGCTAAACGGCCGGACTAGCAGCTCCTGCAATTTTTAACTTAGGATAAAAAATCAAAATATTTTCGATTATATTTTCGAGTGTATTTTAAGAGAAAATGTAAAATTTCAAGAAAAAATCGCCAGAAAATTATTTATAACAAAAGAACTATGCAATATAATGAAAAAATCCTACGTAGTTCGGTAGAGAATTTAGTTTTGAATATACTGTTGAATTTTCAAATCGATTAGTGATGATCTGTTTGATTTATGCGTTTGAAAATGCGTTTAAAGTCTTCAGATCCCATAATCTTTTGCCATATCATTTTTAAGACATTAAGGCACCTTTTAAGCAAAGCAAAAAGATTTCGATTTTTTCAAAATTCTAGAGTGGCCTAACCTCTTAATTTAATTTTGATTTAACTCTATACTGTATACGCCGATAACCGTATACGTTACCCTATTTTTCAAAAAATTCATTTCATCCATTTAAATGTCCTTCGAACGAAATTTCAATCGTTCCTCTCTTTGTTCCAGTTTTCCTTGCAGGACAACGGGTCCGCGAAATACTTTCAAGGTGCCATGCACACGTCGAACATGGGAGAAAAGGTGGCCCAGGTAAGAGTGCATCTTAATTGCCGTCGAAAAGTTACGACACCACGTACACGGTATCTATCCGAGGCGGAAAACTTGGCCTCGCATGAACGTTGAGTCGCGAGAATCCGCGAATTTATATGCAAATTACGAGCTTGCCTTGCGAGTCGCGTTCGCGAAGACGAGGAACGTGATACTTTCACGAGAACATCTTAACTTCTAATAGAGCCGCATCACCAAAGTTCTTTCCCGAGAATAGTCTGAAGGATGTCAGGAATTTTCTGGCCTTTTTTCCTTCCCGACCTCGAAAGGTAGATTTTTCCTCGAACCAGGAACACAGCCGCGTGTGTCAATTTTTTTCATCAGGGAAGTTTCATTGCCTTTGTTCCCTCGCGAAACTTCTACTTTAATAAGTAAGTAGCTTATTGAAATTTAAGTTTCCCTTGCGAAATATCAATTTATCTTTTAATTAAGCGACTAGGCAGGCAAAGATGTTTCAGTGAAATTGATAAACATTGGGGTTTTGAATTTGAAACATTTTGCACTTCATAGGCACTTCAAGCGTTCCTTTAATAGCTAATGCGAAAAGAAACATTTAAAATGTTATATAAAAATGAATTTTTTATTATTTCATTGACGCACAGTGTTGTATCAACGAGGAGGTCAGATGTTTGACTTATATCGCTTTGTACTACTGAATTTCTACAAAATACAGATATCCACTCGTTTTGCTGTCAATAATTTACGAATCGAGGATCCTGTTCTAGCAACAATTATTATAGTAAAATATATAGTAAAATACAAGTTCATAAATATTATTAGGTTAATGTGAAAATTTTATCGTCGTTTGTACTTTCTAGGCTTCGAAAGAATAATTTACCTGTTTCGTATGAAATTGTCGGTATTGTTACTAATCATACGGTAAAAGTAGGCTATTTGTCGTGATACCCTGTTGTAACACGGCCCTGACTGACGCCAATCAGTCTGCGCCGCAGTTTTGTGGGCGGGAATCTCCCGCATCGTGAGATTTCTACTAACTCGACGATTTTACGTTGTTATTACAACATTCACCTTACAATCCTCTCTGAAGAATTTATTTCTACATCGAAACAATAAATTCCTGTCATTTGAAAGTGCGTTTAAGCAAGGGAAATACTTTTCAAAATGTCGTTTACTGGTATACTGGCGATCAGTAGCAAAAGGTCGCGAATTTTTTTTTTTTTTTTTTTTTAATTTTACAATGAGTGAGAGCAAGGTAGCCCAGCAAACCTACCTCTCATGAGTTGTACCTGTGAATGATAGCCCACTTACCAACAAAAGGAAGAGTGGTGGCATTACCTACATCAAATAATGATTGAGAATTAAGTTTTCGTGGAGAAATTTTCGAAAAAAACGCGGTTAAATGAGAAAAGAAACAAAATAAAATAAAAAACTAAATGAAGTTACAAACAAGAGTAATCTGGGTGAAGGGTGCGCGAGCGACACACCCAGCTAAATAGTCATCAGCAATGACTGCATAAAGAAAATTAAAAACTCTGAAGAGGAAAAAATGAAACCAAACAACTCGAACTAAGCCCCTAACATGAGGAAAGGAACTCGATTTATAAAAAGAATATTATCGGTAGCAGAAGGTCGCGGATTAGAAATATGATATTAACTATCGGACGGCGGACCATGGAGAGAGGCAGAATTCGAAATGTCATAAACGAATCGATAGTATTTTGTTCGATGGACATTTGTTCGTTTCTAATTAAGAATCACATTCAAGTGTAAATATTGAAGTAGACATCGAGTGTTCATCGGCGAATCAATATCTTATTTCGTGACGGGTTTTCGAATAATTTATAACCCTTCGGTCACGTGAAGAGCACGAGAGTGCCGTTGACTCTTGAACTAGTGGAACAAAGATTTTCACAATGTTCTCGTCGACGATCAAGTGTCGACTTATATTTTGCCACTCTCTTTCTTTCTCTCTCTCTCTCCCTTTCTCGTCATTGCTTTTCACCTCGCTCTAGAACGGATAGATGGATCGAGAAGGCACTTGATCGGTCTCGCTTAGGGACGCCGGTCTTTAAACAATTTCCTTGTTTGAAAAAGCGACGATGCCTTTGCCAACACGCTTATCGACTTGTAGTGGGTCAGATGTCTCGAGCTTTTCAGCCTAGAAAGGGAGAAGCTTGTTGACACGCCTGTGACATACTCGAAATCAATAATTTCCGCGTGACGGTTTATAATTCCTTTCTAAGCTCCATTCTCGCCAGTTGAAAATTTTCATTTCTATCCTTTTTCTCATGATACTTTGATATTACAAAAATCATATCATAATTTTCTCTAATTCTAAATAATAAAATAGGAAACTTTTAGCAGTTTTCCTTTTATTTTTTTTAAGTAACTTAAGGAAGAGAATTTTGGTCAATTTAAAAAATGTTCCATCGTCGTACTCTTAAGTACTGTTATTACGTGATCCTTCAAGATTCCTCTCTTCTTTAAAGCCTTCAAAATGGCTCTTGGGATTTTAACTGTCGTCTCGAGAATCCTTCATATAATAACAGGATTTATTAAACGATCGCGTTTCTCGGTGCGAAAATTGATCGCTGAATTCGGGTCAATCGTTAGACGAAATTCGAGTAGCTTCGAATTACTGCTGTTATTGCAAACCGCTTACCATTATTAATCCTTGGTACAAAAGAAATGCGAAACTTAAGCTCGAATCGCATTCGAACTGTCAAGGTTTATTCGTCGTGCCGACATTCAATCGGTGAACCTCATCATCGTTGCTAAAGCTATTTACGTCGGGCGAACTCGAAGCCGCCGATATCGATAACCGATACTGCACCTGTTTTTTCCAACCTCGGTCTCGAACAATGTTACGACTATTTCGCGGAAACTATTACGCCGAATTAAAGACACACGCTTATTGTTATCGATGACAAAGAGATATCCTGATTCTTGCGACCCTTCTTCGATAACCACAGCGAATATTACGTTGTACAAATCGTTTGTTCTGAAGCAGAAAGATTCACTTTAATGTTTTCTTTTTTACTTTGAAAACTGACCGTGATTCGAACTCGCGGAAACGGAGACGAAGAAAAGAAGAAAGACGTCTTACGGCGAACTTGCACGAAAGTAGGAAAAGGGATTCTTGTCCCAATAGGAAATTAGAGGAAACTTGTTGAATGGAATCCTTGCTATTTGTAAGATGTTTGTCGATTTTTCATCGGAAACTGCTCCGTCGAACAGTCACAATTCTCCGGCAAATTGTTTTCGATTGAATTGGCAGGGATAGGCGTTCCCGTGACGTTTATGGAATTTGTAATATGAAAGACCTTTCTTTCGTTCACTCGCAATCGATTTTCGGCTCCTTTGTTGCGGTTGAAAATTTAATCAATTTGTTATTTCACTGTTGTTTTACATATTTCAAGAGAGGAATATTTATACCTTATTACATTTACAATATTTGAACCGTGAAACGGTTACTCTTAAAATTTTGAAAAAAGCAGCTTTCACCTTAAAAGTATTGCGGAAAATAATATCAAATGAAGAAGGAAAAGAATTAACGTACAAAATATGAAATTATCTACAGAGTGAATGTTCTTCTCATAAAGGAGCACAAAGTGAATTTAGAACAAAGATATCAAATAACGGAAGGACAAGTACCATTTTCAACTCATGGAAAGATAAAAAAGTCAACATTGTACCTCAACGGCAAAAAAGGAAGAACGAAACAAGCCAGATAAAGAATGTAGAGAAGGATCAGTTAATCTCGTTACCCAAAATGAAGAAGGAAACGAATTAACCCTCCCATAGGGGGGTGAGAGAGAGACACATCAATCAGCGTAAAGAGAAAGAGAAAAACGAGCCACGGTTGTCTAAATGAGGAGCAAAAGAAAAGGCAATCAATGCATAAAGGATAAGATACCGTATTTAAATAAAACACAAATGAGAAAGAAACGAGATGAATCCATAGAGTCGCTAAAAGGATAATAGTAGGAACAATGGGTGAATAGGATCATATCATCCTGTCATTCCCGTATGGTAACGAAACTCAGAGGGTTCAAGCTGGTCTAATGATACAGATATGGAAAGAGTAGAATATTTCTGAATACTTCCAAGACTATACAAATAACTTAAAATAACAAATTGGAACATTGGAATTAATTTTGGAATTAATTGGAAGTAAGAAAATTAATTTTAAATATTTTTACTGTGGCAGTTAATGCGTTAATTAAAGAAAAGGATCTCAGCAGGTACACAGAAAAATTCTGCAAAGAGAAAAAATAAAATTTCTATATCATATCCTAATGAACTGTAATGATAGAGACAAAGGATGGAGGGGTGAGTTAAGTAACCCTGTCGACTTAAACGAAGATGGAAACACATTAACCAGCCTACAAAGGTGAAAGATAGACAGACGAAGTAGCAACAAGGGAAACAAAGAAACGAACTTCGGTTCAGCAGAGAAGGGAGTGTAGGTGGATGGGCGGGAGAGGAAGGGGTGGGTGGCAAAGGCTTGCCGACAGAAGGCGCTACTATCAGTGTCGCAGTATCCCCCGTCCTGCCCGGCAGGTTATACCGTCGCCACTCCGTCCATATCGTCCCCAAAGGAACAGCGAGCACATGTAAACGGTGAATAAGACTGAAGAAAGGCCGGAACGCGCGTTCGTAATACCTCGAAGCAGGGTTGGCACGCGATTAATAAACAGGTGATCGTTCGCGATATTTTTCTCGATTGGAGAAAAAATTTTCATTGCACAGAGGGAAACGATCGAGCGGAGTGGAATTCGTGATCGTCACATACCCTTGTATCATTTCTCGTCGAGCATCGACTTAAAGATCGTTCAGAGAAACACTGTCTCGTTGTTGGTGTCGTTGCGGTTTCACGATTATTGTCAGACTCGAAGAAACGTCGATTCGACGGTCGGTTGGGATAGGTCGAGTACTGACGCGGGGACGAGTCGAGATCCTCGATCGATTCGTTCACAAGCGGAAAAGAAACGAGGGGTTGGGAGGTCGTTACCGATGAA